AATTTATGGTTTCGATTGGTGCAAACAAACCCAATCACCTCAATTTGCAATTTAAGCTGAGAAAGGCTTCCCCATTGGTAGCAAATGGTTACACCTTAAGCGGGGAAATCATATTTCAATTAAAAAAAAAAAGCGGAAAGATTATGCTCTTATTTTTGCAAGAACGAACTAAGAGGGTCAGCTACCCAGCCAATCTTCATACTTAAATACCGTTACTGTATAGTTCGACTTCGTTGTGAAATACCTATTATTAGATATTTCATGGGTAGAGCCAAAGAGTGTGAACTGTACAAGTTAACAATAACATTGAAAAAAATGAAGGGGCTCCGGTGTATAGAGAGGACCTCGCCGTTTAAAACCTAATCATAGAAACGATGAAACTCACCATTTCTTTATCTATTCCTATTTAATTTACTATGTTTTTTTGATACCCAGTATCAATACAATTTCTTATTTCGAGGTTAAATGCTTAGAAATAAAAAGAAAAAAATCGTGGTTGGGAAGGTTATAGTAGCAAAAAAAGCCATCGGAATTTTTATTTTATACATTGGAAGGATCCATTTTTGTTATTAATAGACTATAGGGTGGGGAGAAAAGAATAACTGAACAAAAAGAAATCAAATAGTTATTCATCAAAGTCTCATTTATTCAATGACAAGAATTAAACGAGGATACATAGCTCGGAAACGGAGGACAAAAATTCGTTTATTTACATCAAGTTTTCGCGGGGCTCATTCAAGACTTACTCGAACTATGATTCAACAGAAAATAAAAGCTTTAGTTTCGGCTCATCGGGATAGAGATAGGAAAAAAAGGGATTTTAGAGCTTTGTGGATCAGTCGAATAAATGCAATAATTGGTGCGAATAAAAAAAAAATAGACTCTAGTTATCACAGATTAATATATAATCTGTACAAGAGGCAATTGCTTATTAATCGTAAAATAGTTGCACAAATAGCTATATTAAAAGGGGATTGTCTTTTTATGATTGCCAACGAGATCATATAAAACTCTACTACCTTCCCGGAGATCAATCTCCGGGAAGGTAGTAGAGTTTTATATGATAAAATAGAATTCATACCATAAAGTCATCAAAATGAACAACCACGCTCAATAAAAAAAAGATTTATTATTCTTCACCGATTTATCTTTTCTGTTATAACACAACAATCAAAATTGGACTTTCATAGTTTTCGAACAAAAGATCAATCCAAATTTGATTTTATTTTAGACTAGTAGTGGTAGTTCTAGCGGTCAACTCGGTTTTTTCAAATTGTTTTTCATTATTAAGAAAAGGTAACGAAGATAAAATACGAGCTTGTTTTATAGCAATCGTAATTAATCGTTGTTGTTTTAAGGTCAATCTATTTAGGCGTCTAGATAATATTTTTCCTTGTTCACTAATAAATCGACTAATTAAACTCATGTTTTTATAATCAATTCGATCCCCCGACCCAATCGGGGGCAAACGTCTACGAAAAGATCGCTTTGATTTAAGAAAGAGTCGCTTAGATTTATCCATGGTTTGTTTATTCCTATCCCGAAAATACTATTTATTACAAAAAAGGATTCGTTTTGTTTATATTCTTACTTTCTTTTTATTTTTTTTATTTATATATATATATGTTGTTATGTTATATAATTATATATATAGTTTTATATAGTTTATAGAATATATATGAAAAACTGGTCATTTTCATGTTCTTTTGGAAGGGTGACACAGAAGCGATCCATTTTATCTATTTCTTTATTTCTGCGTGAATCATATGTTTGCAACAACGGGGACAGAATTTTCTCAATTCCAATCGACTGGGCGTATTGTGTCGATTCTTTTGAGTAATATATCTAGAAATACCGGTTGATTGCTTATTAACACTACTATTTTGAGCACAACTAGTACATTCCAAAATAACCGCTACTCGGATATCTTTACCCTTGGCCATGAACCTCCTTTGGGTTTTTGATTCACTTTAAACTCTTCGATTTTTGGATTATAAGAAGAAAAATAAAAGGGTAAAAGGAGAAGTTGATAATGCGAAATAAAATTATGGAAGATTTCCTTGCTATTAATATAAATAGAGTACAATACTAATTAAGTTAATTAATACAATAACTTCGAACTAATCTTCTATGATTATTGTAACACCCTAGATTTTAATGTCATCAAATTATAGTATTAGTCGTGGGAGAGGCTCACCTGGGAGGGTGAAATCCAGGGTTATACTGAAGGATTCTCGCTTATGCGAGAGGATCCTCGCTTGAGCGATAGTGGTCTCGCCTGAGCGAGAATTGTCTCGCCTAGGCGAGAAAAGTGGCATTCAGGACCTGTCGAGGTTGTAAGATCCTCGCTTGAGCGAGAGCTGCCTCGCCTGAGCGAGAATTCCCTCGCCTGGGCGAGAGGGTCAGATCTGAGTTTTTAAAATAGGCGAGATTTTCTCGCTTGAGCGAGAATGAGCTCGCTTAAGCGAGAACCCGACGAGTTGCATTAAATGAGAAACCCCAAACACATTTTAGGGTTAGAAATTGAAGAGAGGTGAAAGAAGAGAGCTTTTCCAAGGGCAAGGAGCTTTGATACTCATCTAGAAGCTTGAGAAGAGGTAAAACTCATGATTCTAACTCTCTTCTTCCCTTTGAAACTTGTTTTGGGTATGTTGGATCTCTTCTCAAAATGTGAAAAACCATGGAAACTCACCCTTTTGAGTTATAGTTCGTTTTATGTTATTTTTCCCTTGTAAACTCTTGGTTTAGAGTTGGCATTTCAAGAATGGAAAGGGTTTGTGGGTTGATTCATGAAAACCCCAAAACCCTAAAATGAAAGTGTGGTTAAAGGGGGAAATGGGTAAAAATGCTAGAGGTAGAAGATGAGTATGCATTCTAATATTGAAATATAAGATGAATATTTATGTTGTAGATGTTTGTAAACTAATGATGAAAGTAGTTTAGAAACATTGAAAATGTGTTAAATCTCTTATATGGTTAAAGATGCAAATGAGTTGTTTATGTGTTATTTGGAATAAATGACTAACATTGTGTTATATGGTGGGAATGAGGAAAGATCTTAAAGTTGGAGGCGGTGTCGGTGGAACTTACGAAGTTACCAAGAACCAAACCCAACACATACCAAGGTAAGGATAAGTCTTTAACTTGTGCATTGTGTTAGAAAATGTGTGGATTTTCTGGTTGTGGATAATGATCAAGTTGTGAACCACTTATTTATTATAAACATATATGGGTATGTTTGTAATAATGATTGTGTGGATTTACTGTTTATGGATTGATGGAGTCTCAATGAAAAGAAAACTCGTTTTTAGCCGACCATGATTGGTTAGCGACTTTGGCTCAAGTAATGTAGCAAGCTTTGGCTCAAGCGATGTAGCAAGCTTTGGCTCAAGCGATGTAGCATGCTTTCGCTCAAGCGATGTAGCAAGCTTTCGCTCAAGCGATGTAGCAAGCTTTGGCTCGAGCGATGTAGCAAGCTTTGGCTCGAGCGATGTAGCAAGCTTTGGCTCAAGCGATGTAGCAAGCTTTGGCTCAAGCGATGTAGCAAGCTTTGGCTCAAGCAATGTAGCAAACTTTGGCTCAAGTTATGTAGCATGGTTTCCAAAAGTATAAACGATGAAAATGGTTTTAAGTATATTTAACTTTAAATTGGCTACTTAACCTTATTAAAATGTGGATTAACGTATATTGACATTTATTGAGTTAACGACTTACTCCTTTTTGTTTTCTATGTATGGTCAATGTTAATCCCATTGGGAGGTGGAAGATTTAAGGATGTTTTGATTAGGAGATTAGAGGCTTTTAATTTTTGAAGTCCTCATCTTTATTCTTTTGTAATCTTACTGATTGTATTTTGAACTGAATATTTTAACCACGGATATGATTGCCTGTACATGTTATTAGCCATGGATAATTGTAACTCTGGATATTTGTCGCTATGGGTATTTTGCAAACCCATAGCTAGTTGTATGCGGTAGTTACTGAGCTGCATTAATATGAATTATGATTTTCTATTAAACAAATATGTATGTTGTTTTGACTTAGGAAAGGAGTATGAATAGGAAAGTGAGATTTAAAATAAGGTTGTTGAAATTGTATTTAAAAGTTATAGGAGAATGCATGAAAATGGATTAAAATAAGGAAAAATTTCAAGGGTAGAATTTGGGTCTTTACAATTATGATATTGTTGACCCCGCCCTAGCCATTTCATTTTAATTTCGGGTCTCACTCTATTCTATTATTACTCTCTTATTAATAGAAATGGAATTGAATTCATAATTACATATCTTCTATTATGTAATTATGAATTCAATTCCATTTAGGCTTTGACCAGATTCCGAGTTTCGCTGAGGCTGAATCCACCCTTCTTCTTTCTATTTTCTAACTCATTCTAATTCTAAAAGAAAAAAAAAGAAGAAAAGGGGGTTAATCATAGAAATTGGATTGGATCTTGAATCTTCTTCACCCCTTCCTGTGCCAATAACTAGAATTAAAAAAACGGGAATATCAATGCATCCGGGAATAAACGGTTGATCTCTATCAAGAGACCCGCTAAAGCCCCGAACCATAAAGTACTTATCACTGGTGCCACGGAGAGATATGTTTTTAGATCTCGCATTTAAAATCTCCTTTTTTTTATTCTTTATTGTAATTTGTAATACATAATCACATAGAGGAATACGATCAGATGGTTATTAACTCAATAACCACTTGTATTTGTCGGCAGAATCCCAAATTAAAATTGAAATGTACAACAATTCATTCTATATAAAAAAAAAATAAGTCTATTTCTGCTCGAGCAGTCCCTAAAAATATTTTTCCGGTTTAGGGAAATTTCCTATTTTTTTATTATTATTATTATATTTTATTATAAATATTCTTTATTCTTATTCTATCGAATATATATATATATATATTTCATATCCTTATTATCCTTATATAGATAGGAAACTAAAAAAAAATGGCAGGATAATTGATATATATATATATATATATATCAACGGCGAAAATAAAAATATGGAAAACACGACAAAGATTCTTTACAATGACACTGGAAACCAATTGAGAGGGATGTAGCGCAGCTTGGTAGCGCGTTTGTTTTGGGTACAAAATGTCACGGGTTCAAATCCTGTCATCCCTAACTATTACTTATCCTATGAACAGTAACAATATATCACAATATATATTGTGATATATTGATATAGTATATGCATGCAAGATGTATTGGGGTCTCATAAAATTATTTATGAGAATAAAGCGCTCTTAGTTCAGTTCGGTAGAACGCGGGTCTCCAAAACCCGATGTCGTAGGTTCAAATCCTACAGAGCGTGATTCCATTCTTGTTAGATCCAGACAGAACGACACTGCGAAATATTTGAACCACAGTCTAAAGTCTAAAACAAAGAAATAGTAGGTCAATAAACAAAAGAGGTGTTAATTGATCAAAGGTCTAACTGATCACCACGTCGGTATTGTAAATATGCAGTTACGAATAATCCAGCCAAAGTAATAGGAATGAGACCTAACACGATTCCAAAGAGAAAAACTTCAATCATTTGAATTTGTTTGAAAGGGAAAGGGGGAGGTAATATCTATCCTTAAATATTAATCTAATCTGTATTGACCATGAATCCCAACGACCAAGAAATTGGAAATGGACACGATAAGGAACTGTGGAATATCTAGAATATTAAAAATTTTTCAATTCATTTTATCATTTCAAATCAAATAAGTCGTATCTTACTCAGACCAATAAATAGAGCTGAGGTTATAGTTAAAGCCGCTAGTAGAAAACCGAAATAACTAGTTATAGTGGGCATAAAGAAGCTAAATGAAATTTTTTTTTTATACATACATATGTTTATAAAGCACTTCCCTAAGTTTCCATTTTGAGGAGAAAAATAGTAAAATAAACAAACTTGAAAGGTACAATTGAATATTTTTTATTCATCAATTACAGACGAAGAAAAATAGAGTGACATAGATAATAAAGCAATTCATCATCTGTGACATCGACTCATCTTGTGATTCCAAATCAACAGATTCATTGAACAACTCGTGAGTTGAGTAAACCAATCTAATTAGATTATTTTCATCTTAATTTTTTTTATACATACATATGTTTATGAAGCACTCCCAAGGGCAAGGAGCTTTCGAGTTATGGTTCATTTTATGTTGTTTTTACCTTGTATACTCTTGGTTTAGAGTTAGTATTTCAGGAATGGAAAGGGTTTGTGGGTTGATTCATGAAAACCCCAAAACCCTAAAGAGAAAATCTGGTTAAAGTGGAAAATGGGTAAAATGCTAGAGGTAGAAGATGAGTTTACTTTCTAATGTTGACATATGAGATGAATATGTATGTTTTGGATGGTTGTAAACTTATGATGAAAGTAGTTTAGCAACATTGAAAATATGACGAATATCTTGTATGGTTAAATAATGCAATATAAGTTGTTTATGTGATATTTGGAATAAATGACTAACATTGTGTTATATGGTGGGAATGAGAAAAGATCCTAAAGTTGGAGGCGGTGTCGGTGGAACTTACGAAGTTGCCAAGAACCAAACCCAACACTCACCGAGGTAAGGAAAAGTCTTTAACTTATGCACTGTGATGGAAAATGCGTGGATTTTCTGGTTATGGATAATGAAATGAATTGTGAATCACTTAATTATTATAAGCATATATGGGTATGTTTGTAATGATGATGGTGTGGATTTACTGTTTATGTATTGGTGGAGTGCCAATGGAAATAAAACATGAAATAATGAAATGAATTGTGAATCACTTAATTGTTGAGCATATATGAGTATGTTTGTAATGGTTATGGTGTGGATTCACTGTTTATTTATTGGTGGGGTACCAATGAAAATAAAACTCGTTTTTAGCCGACCATGATTGGTTAGCGACTTTGGCTCAAGTAATGTAGCAAGCTTTGGCTCAAGCAATGTAGCAAGCTTTTGCTAAAGCATTGTAGTAAGCTTTGGCTCAAGCAATGTAGCAAGCTTTGTGTCAAGCAATGTAGCAAACTTTAGCTCAAGTTATTTAGCATGTTTTCAAAAGTATAAACAAAGGAAATGGTTTTAAGTATATTTAATTCTAAGTTTCTACTTAACTTTATTAAAATGTGGATTAACGTATATTGACATTATTTTACATTAACGACTTACTCCTTTGTGTTTTTGTGTATGGTCAATGTTAATCCTCATTGCAGGTAGGTGGAAGATGTAAGGACGTTTTGATTAGGAGCTTAGCGGCTTTTAATTTTTGGAAGTCCTTATATTCATTCTTTTGTAACATGACTAATTGTATTTTTGAACATGAATATTTGTAACTCTGGATATTCGTAGCTATGGGTATTTTGGAATCCCATAGCTAATTGTATGCGGTAGTTACCGGGATGTATGAATGAATTATGATTTTCTACTATGCGAACATGTATGTTATTTTGAGATTATGAAATGGACATGAGTAGGGAAATGAGACTTGGTTTGAGTTGTTGGGATTTTTATTTAAAAGTCGTAGGAAAATTTATGAAGGATGAATAAAATAAGGAAAAATTTTCAAGGGTAGAATTTGGGTCCTTACAGTTAGTGTCCTTAGGCACCGCGATACAATCATATCACATCTCAACTGGGTATGTATATTTTTAGGCTTTCACAGTTTTGGTTTGTGTATTCATAATGATACCATGAGCGCTTTAGGGCGCCCCCAAGATATGTTTTCAGATACCACTATACAATTACAACCTGTCTTTTCTCAATGGATACAAAATACTCACGCTTTAGCATTGGGCACAACGGCTCCAAGTGTAACAACAAGCACTAGTTTGACTTGGGGTGGGGGTGATTTAGTGGTAGTGGGCGGCAAGGTTGCTTTGTTACCTATTCAATTAGAAATTGCAGATTTTTTAGTCCATCATATACATGCATTTACAATTCTTGTGACTATATTGATACTCTTAATGGGTGTTCTATTTGCTCGTAGTTCACGATTGATACTGGATAAAGAAAATCTTGGTTTTCGTCTCCCGTGTGATGGACCTGGAAGATGAGGAACATGCCAAGTATTTGCATGGGATCGGGTCTTCCTAGGGTTATTCTGGATGTACAACACAATTTCGGTAGTAATATTCCATTTCAGTTGGAAAATGGAGTCAGATGTTTGGGGTAGTATAAGCGATCAAGGGGTAGTAACTCATATCAGAGGAGGACATTTTGCACCAAGTTCCATTACCATTAATGGGTGGCTCCGCGATTTCTTATGGGCGCAAGCATCCCATGTAATTCAGTCGTACGGTTCTTCATTATCAGCATATGGTCTTTTCTTTTTGGGTGCCCATTTTGTATGGGCTTTTAGTTTAATGTTTCTATTCAGCGGGTGTGGTTATTGGCAAGAACTTATTGAATCTATCGTTTGGGATCATAATAAATGAAAAGTTGCTCCTACTACTCAGCCTAGAGCCATGAGCATTGTACAGGGACGCGCTGTAGGAGTAACCCACTACCTTCTGGGTGGAATTGCCACAACATGGGCATTCTTATTAGCAAGAATTATTGCAATAGGATAATGGCTAGGAGGATTTGAAAAGCATTATGGCGTTACGAATTCCAAGGCTTAGCTTAGGACCCCACTACGCGTCGTATTTGGTTTGGTATTGCTACCGCACATGACTTCAAGAGTAATGATGATATTAATGAGGAACGTCTTTATCATAATATTTTTGCTTCTCATTTTGGTCAATTAGCAATAATTTTTCTGTGGACTTATGGGAATCTGTTTCATGTAGCTTGGCAAGGAAATTTTGATTTGTGGGTACAAGATCCTCTACATGTAAGACTTATTGCTCATGCAATTTGGGATCCTCATTTTGGTCAACGGGGATCCCTATCCGACACAATACTCGACGGTATTCCATGCAATCTAACAATTTCCCGGATATACAGTTCCGCCAATCGTTCTAGGGAGTACTTCATATTCATCGGCAAGAAATGAGCCGACTTCGTCAACCGATCCACTATTACCCATATCGAGTTGTACCCCTTCTGAGTCTTCGGAAAACCAGACACAAAATCCATGGAGATACTGTCCCACTTCCAAACGGGAATTTCTAGGGATTGGAACTCTCCCGCTGGTCGCTGATGCTCAATCTTGGCTTTCTGACATACCAAACAACTCGAGACATACGAAGCCACATCTCTCTTCAACCCAGACCACCAAAATAACTTCTTCAAGTCTCGGTACATTTTCGTTGTCCCCGGGTGAAAACTCATCTTACTCTTATGGGATTCCTCCAAAATACTTCTACGTAATTCCTCGTCACGAGGTACACACACTCTCTCCTTGTAACGCAATAGTCCTCTAAGGTCTGATGCGAAATCAGTTTCCTTACCACTTAGCATCAAATCCCATTTAGCCATTAGTTCAATATCCTCCACTCCCGGATTTGATCGAACAGTTCATTTGTGACCTTGAACATTCCTAGAATCATACTTTGGGGCTTTATCCGAACTTCCAAGTTCATATCCCTAAACTCCTCAATCAGTTTCTCCTCTCGAACCATCAATGCCGACATATTTAAAGATTTCCGACTTAGAGCATCGGCCACCACATTTGCTTTTCCTGGATGGTACTGCAGCCCAAAATCATAATCCTTAAGGAATTCCATCCATCTCCTCTGCCTCATGTTCAATTCTTTCTGATCAAACAAGTACTTCAAATTCTTGTGGTCACTATACACTTCAAATCTCACGCCATAGAGATGGTGTCTCCAGATTTTTACGGCAAAGACCACCGCGGCCAACTCAAGATCGTGGGTAGGGTAGTTTTGCTCATGCGTCTTCAATTACCTAGAAATATAGGCTACAACTTTCCCCTCTTGCATTAACACGCAACCCAAACCTTGCTTGGACGCATCACAATGAACACTGAAGTCTTTGTCAGTACAAGGAAGAGTCAACACCGACGCTGTAGTCAATCTCTGTTTCAACTCTTGAAAACTCTCTTCACAACGGACTATCCACACATAAGATTCCCCCTTCCTGGTGAGCTTAATCAGCGGTAGCGCCAGCTTCGAAAATCCCTCAATGAATTTCCGATAGTAACCGGCCAAACCCAGAAAACTTCTGATCTCAATGACTGACTTGGGCACCGCCCAATCCATGACCGCTTCAACTTTAGACGGATCTACTGCCACTCCTTCCTCGGATATTACATGTCCAAGAAAATGTACTGACTCCAACCAGAAGTCGCATTTTGAAAGCTTTGCATACAACCGATTCTTGCTAAGAAGTTCTAGCACAATCCTCAGGTGCTCAACATGTTCCTCTCGGCTTTTGGAGTAAATCAAAATGTCATCAATAAATACCACTACGAATGAATCCAAATACGGATGAAAAATCCGATTCATGTAGTCAGTAAATATTGCTGGGGCATTCGTTACACCAAAAGGCATGACCAAATACTCAAAATGTCCATACCTTGTTCTGAACGCCGTCTTAGGAACATCTTCCGACTTCACGCGAAGTTGGTGGTAACCAGACCGAAGATCAATCTTTGAAAACACTACCGCTCCCCTCAATTGATCCATCAAGTCATCGATCCGAGGCAATGGATACTTGTTCTTAATAGTGACCTTGTTCAACTGTCGGTAGTCGGTACACAACCGCATACTACCATCCTTTTTCTTAACCAACAAAACAGGCACGCCCCATGGCGAGACGCTAGGACGAATGAACTTCTTTGCCAACAAGTCCTCAACCTGCTTTTTCAACTCCGCCAATTCTAACGGTGCCATCCTATAAGGAGCTATAGAGATGGGTCCCGTTCTAGGTGCCAAATCAATAGAGAATTCAACTTCTCGTACGGGAGGTAATTCCGGAATTTCACTAGGAAATACCTCAGGAAACTGACGAACTATCGGAATATCCTCAACTTTGGGGTTTTCACTACCCTCCAGGGATGCGAACAACATAAACATGGCTCCTCCCCCTTTACAGGAAGTCCTGACTTCCTTTGCCGACAACGACTTCATGTCATTAACCTCATCAGAAATCTCCTCCAGATTCCCGAATACCACAGTCTTATCAGCACAATTTAGCATCACATGATTCGCCGACAACCAGTCCATCCCCAGAATTAGATCTAGTTGGGTTAGTGGTAAGCAGATCAAATCCACGGTAAAAGTCCTACCATTTACCACTACCGGACATCGAGACACAACTGTCGACACCACCACAGGCACATCAGTTGGGGTGGATACGACCAAGTCAAAAGGCAACGACTCAGTTTGCAATTTCAGTCTATCCACACAGTCATTAGATACAAAGGAGTGTGTCGCTCCCGAATCAAACAACACTAAAAGAGGAATCTGCCACCATGCAATTACCTTTGATCAGGCCATCAACACCAGATGCCTCTACACCACTCATGGTGAACACTCTGCCAGTAGATCGAGGTCGCTCAGCCCTCACAACTTTCATACTCTGTGGAAATTTAGGACAATATCTCCTAACATGCCCAACTTCCTTGCAGCTAAAACAGGTAAGTGTCGTAGTAGGGCATGAGTCACCCCCATGAATTCGGCCGCATTTGCCGCACAATGATGGAGAGTTCAACCGTGACCCTTCGGCATTACCATGAGTCCTCAGCCCATGTGGAGTATTTCCCCGACTACCCGTTGGAGGAGAGTAAGGCTTCCGTTCCTCTTGAAACATTTTGCCCTTTCCCTTGCCGTGTGAGAAGTTCCGTTGAGGGCCATAGTGTTTCAGAGGGTTATCTTTTCTAGCAGCAGCGTCCCTCCTCCACACATTATCTTCATACATCCTACACTTGTTCACTAGTGTAGGGAAATCAGAAATTTCTTCATGACCAAATGTCACCCGGAGCTCGGGCCTCAACCCCGTCTCAAACTTCACACATTTGGACCTCCCGTCCAACTCTAGTTCAGCATAAGGGCAATACCGGATCAATTCTTCAAATTTGGCCGAATACTCCCCCACCGACATGTTCCCCTACTCTAATTGTAGGAATTCCCTCCTTCTCCCTTTTCAAGTCTGCACGAAAATATTTCTGGACGAATTTACTCTTGAAAGCTCCCCACGTGATGATCTGCCCTTCGACCTCCATTTGTCTCCAGGTCATTTCCCACTAGTTCTCTACCTCCTTCACCAACATGTAGGTGGCGTAGGCCACTCTCTGAACATCAGAACAGATCATGGCCCTGAAGATTCTTTCCAATCCTTGGACCCATTCAATAGCCGCATCCGGAGCGAACCCGCCTTGGAACTAACTGGGTTTTCTCCTGCAGAATTCATCCAGACCTCGGTATTCAGCCGACCTAGGTGGAACCAATGGTTGCGAACTCGGACTTGGTGTCGCGTTCTGATTCAGGTGCTGTAAGTTCTCGTTCATATTCGACAGTACGGCAGCAATCTGAGCCAACAATTCATTCTGACCCGATCCTCTTCCTCTTCCTCTTCCTCTTCCAGACATCTCCGCAATGGGTACCTTTTTATCTCAATTCTCACTTGTCAGTAAACCAGGTTTAACCAAACAAATCAACAAGTAATCCACACAACAGTTCACTTAAACCACATAGTCCAATCATTTAGAAGTTACAAGGAAGCAAGTAAGGCCAAACCCTAGGCCACAGGACTAACTATGCTCTGATACATTCCTTTAATTTTAATCTTATTTACTTAGTCATATTCATTCCACCTCTTCATATATTCCGCGAACGCCGTTCTTGCCAAGGCTGTATGTCTTTTTTTAGTTTACTCAAGTCCAAACCATTTGGACCCCTTAAAGGTTCTAACCAGGGAGCACGCAGATACCAAAAACGCATAGTTTCTCCCCCAAAAATAACTTCTCCGGTCGGAGAATGCGTTAGATATTTACCTAAATCGGTAGGTCCTTGAGTAGATCTGACGTTAGCCCGAAGACGTTGGTCTCTAACTAGAAAAGTAAATGCTTGAGCTTGAGAAGCTTATGGTCCAGTGGGCCCATAAAACTCACTAGGATAAGCGGTATTATTAAACCAAACAAAGCAACAAGCAATAAAACAAAAAACAGATACAGCAGCTAAACTATAAGATAAGTAAGCTTCTCCAGACCATACAAGTACACGTCGAGCCCATGCAAAAGGTTTGGTTAAGATATGCTAGATTCCACCAAATATACAAATGAAACCGAGCCATACATGCCCTCCAATTATATCTTCCAAATCATCCACACTAACAATCCACCCTTCTCCTCCAAAATGTGATTTTAGTAAATAACCAAATATAATACTTGTTTCCCAGGTATCATATATACCCCCAAAATAATGAGCCTTGAATACTAGAAGAAAAGCACCTATACCTAACAAGATTAAGTGAATACCCAAAATTGTAGTCATTTTATTTCTATCTTCCCATACATAACCAAAGAATGGAAAAGATTCTTCAAGAGTCTCAGGTCCCAGAAGTGCATGATAAATACCGCCAAATCCCAATACTTCAGAGGAAATTAAGTGAAGCATGCTAGACACGAAGTATGGAAAGGTGTCTATAACTTCTCCCCAGGACCTACCCCCCAACCTAGAGTAGCTAGATGGGGAAGTAAAATCAAACCCTGTTCATACATGGGCTTTTTGAGTACGAAATGAGCCATTTCAAATAGGTTCATTGCTCCGGCCGGCATGGGCCACATGAGCCCCCAATAGTTTACCAGATAAATTGATAAGTCGGGCATTCCCAGCCCACCAAGCGAAACTAGTAGTTTCTTGGTCACGACCAGTTAAAGCTAAAGTTCCATTAAAGAGCGTTTCCACGTGGTAGAACCTCCTCAGGGAATATAAGGTTTTCATGAGGCTGATCTTGAGCCGCCATCCACGCACGAATAACTTCGTTTAAGAGAATGTTTTTGGTGTAGAAATTCTCAAATTCAGGATCTTTCGCTGCACGAATTTCTTGAGAAACGAAGTCATAGGCACGTAGGTTCAGGGCTAGGCCGACTACTCCAAGAGCACTCATGCATAAACCGGTTACTAGTACAAATAACATAAAGAAATGTAACCAACATTTATTGGAAAAAGCAACCCCAAAGATTTGGGACCAAAAGCGGTTAGCGGTGACCATTGAATAAGTTTCTTCAGCTTGGGTTGGGTTAAAAGCACGGAATGTATTTGCGCCATCACCATCTTCAAATAAAGTATTTTCCACGGTAGCACCATGAATAGCGCATAGTAGGGGCAGCTCCCAATACACCAGCAACTCCCATCATATGAAATGGGTTCAATGTCCAATTATGAAACCCTTGGAAAAAGAGGGTGAATCGAAATATAGCAGCTATGCCAAAACTAGGCGCAAAGAACCAACCAGATTGACCCAGTGGATAAATCAGGAATACGTAAACAAAAACAACAATTCGACCAGAGAATGCAATTGCATTATGTAAGGACCCAAATTCTACACATAAATTTTTTCCTTATTATAATCCATTCACCTACATTTTTCCTATAACTTAGAATCACAAATCCAACAACTTTATGTTAATCTCGCTTTCCAGATTATGATTATTCTATAACGTAATAACCATACACCCATTCATTTTACAGAAAAAGATAATTCATATTAATGTCTCCCTGTAACTACAACATACAACCATCTATGGGTTTCCAAAATTCTCATGGCTACAAATATCCAGTGTTACAATGCTCGGAGATACAATTATCCAAAATAGCATTTAATCAGCCATAATACAAAAAGGCGCAAACAAAAGAATCCAAATTTTAAAGCTCCTAAAGCTCTAAAACAAGCATCCTCAATTCACCTATTAACCTGCAATGGGACTTATCGATAACAAATACACAAAACATACAAAGGAGTAAGTCATTAATTCAATAAATATCATTATAAGATAATCCATATTTTTAAAGGGGTTAGTAAACCATTTTAAATTCATTTTCGCTACATAACTTGAGCCAAAGTATCGCTACATAAATTGAGCCAAAGTATCGCTACATAACTTGAGCCAAAGTATCGCTACATAACTTGAGTATCGCTACATAACTTAAGCCAAAGTATCGCTACATAAATTGAGCCACAGTATCGCTACATAACTTGAGCAAAAGTATCGCTACATAACTTGAGCCAAAGTATCGCTACATAACTTGATCCAAAGTATCGCTACATAACTTGAGCCAAAGTCGCTAACCAATCATGGTCGGCTAAAAATATGTTTTCTTTTCATTAATTCACCATCAACTCATAAACAGCACTTCTACGCATTCCTTCACTACGATATGCTAATTAAAGACTTATCCTTACCTTGGTGAGTGTCGGGTTTGGTCCTTGATAACTTTTCAAGTTCCTCCGACACCGCCTCCAACCTTAGGATCTTTCCTCATTCCCACCACATAACAACAATGTTAGTCATTTATTCAAAATAACACATAAATAACTCATATTTCATCTTTAACCATTCAAGAGATTCACACATTTTCAATGTTTCCAAAACTATCTTCATTAAGAGTTCCCAAACCTCTAAAACATATATATTCATCTTATATTCAACATTAGAACATATACTCATCTTATACATCTAACATTTCACCCATTTCCCACTTTAATCATATTCTCATTTTGGGGTTTTGGGGTTTTCATGAATCAACCCACAAACCCTTTCCATTCTTTAAATACCAACTCTAAATCAAGAGTTTACAAGAGAGAAATCAAATATAACGAACCACAACTCAAAAGGAAGAGTTTCCATGGTTTCTTACATTTTGATAACAGATCCCATACACCCAAAACAAGTTTGAAAGGGAGAAGGAGAGTTAGAATCAAGAGGTTTACCTCTTCTCAAGCTTCTAGATGATTCCCACGAGTCCTTGCTTCCAAAATCACCTCTTTCTATCCTCTCTCTCAAGTTATAACCCTAAAAGTGTTTGAGGGTTTCTATTTTAAAGTGAAATCGTTGGGTTCTCGCTCAAGCGAGCCCATTCTCGCTCAAGCGAGAAGATCCCGCCTATTTTAAAAATTTCAACACTAACGCTCTCACTCTAGCGAGGGATTCTCGCTCAAGTGAGAATCCTTCAATGTCCACCCTCTCTCCCTTGCCTAGGCGAGCCACATCTCGCTCAGGCGAGAATCCCAGGAAATCCTGGGAGCAGATACTAAGCCTCTCGCTTGGGCGAGGCCCTCTCGCTAAAGCGAGAAATACCCAGTATACCCCAGAATTTCACTACACTTAGGCAAATAAAATTATGGTGTCACAATCCTCCCCCTCTTATAAGAATTTTCGTCCCCGAAAATTAAACATAACTCGATTCAAACAGACGAGGGTAATCCTCCCTCATATCTCGTTCCACTTCCCAAGTCGCATCGCCTTCATCCACTTGGCTCTATAATACTTTCACCAAAGAAAATTTTTTCCCCTCAATTTCTTAATGCTAGTATTCAAGATCCACAGGGGTAAGGTCGTGAAGGTTAAGTTATCCTTCAACTTTATCTGATCGGACTCAACCACATGAGATGGATACCCTATATACTTCCGTAATTGAGATACATGAAACACATTGTGGTGATTCGACAAAAATGGAGGTAAAGCAATCTGATATGCCACCGGTCCAATCCTCTTCAATATCTTATATGGTCAGATAAATTTCGGAGTATGCTTACGAGACTTCAACACTCTACCAATCCCAGTAGTCGGAACTACTCTCATGAATACATGATCTCCCTCCTTAAACTCAAGAGGTTCCCCCCTCTTATCATAATAGCTTTTCTGTCGACTTTGTGCTATTCTCATATTCTCCTGGATTTTCTTGATCTTCTCCGTCGTTTCTCGGACCAACTCCTGTTCCAATACTAAGTTCTCCCCAGTTTCAAACCAACTCACTGGAGTCCTGCATTTTCTCCCATACAAAGCTTCGTAAGGGGCCATCCCGATACTAGTATGGAAACTATTGTTATAAGTGAACTCGATCAAAGGCAACATGTTATCCCAACTCCCAGGCTGTTCCCAAACACAAGCTCTCAAAAGATCCTCCAAATATTGTATGGTCCTTTCTGATTGACCATCAGTTTGTGGATGATAAGCCGGACTCAGTTTCAACTTAGTTCCCAAAGCGGACTACAAACTAGTCCAAAAGTTTGAAGTGAAACGAGGATCTCTATTCGACATAATGCTCGAAGGTATCCCATGTAACCCAACGATTTCCTTGATATACAACTCAGCTAATCGTTCCAGGGAATATTTCATGTTCATCGGCAAGAAATGAGCAGTCTTAGTCAAACGATCAACTATTACCCAGATGGAATCACACCATCTCTGAGTCTTTGGAAAGCCCGAGACAAAATCCATGGAGATACTATCCCACTTCCAAACGAGAATCTCTAGTGACTGTAACTCTCCTGCTAGTCGCTGATGTTCAATCTTGGCTTTCTGACAGATGAGACAAATCGAAACAAACAAAGCCACATCCTTTTTCAAACCAGACCACCAAAACAGCTTTTTCAGATCTTGATACATTTTCGTTGTCCCCAGATGAAAACTCATTTTACTTTTGTGTGACTCTTCCAGAATACTCCTTCTCAAACCCGCATAAAGAGGCACACACCCTTCCCTTGTATCGCAACAATCCACTAGAATCCGACTCAAAATCAGTCTCATTCCCACTAGTCATCAAATCGCGTTTGACCTTCAGCTCACAATCCTCAACCTACATTATTCTGACATGGTTAAACAATTCATTGGTGACCTTAAGCATACCCAAAATCATGCTATGGAGTCTCACTTGAACTGCCAAGTTCATATCCCTGAACTCCTCAATTAGTTTCTCTTCATGAACCATCAAAGCCGACATATGTAAGGATTTCCGACTTAAAGCATTGGCTACCACATTGGCCTTTCCCGGATGATACTACAATCCAAAATCATAGTCCATAAGGAACTCCATCCATCTCCTCTGTCTCATGTTTAGTTCCTTTTGATCAAGAAGATATTTCAAACTCTTGTGGTCGCTGTACACCTCAAATCTTACACCATAAAGATGGTGTCTCAAGATTTTTAATGCAAAGACCACCGCTGCTAGTTTCAAGTCATGTGTAGGGTAGTTTTGCTAATGAGTTTTCAACTGTCAGGAAGCATAGGCAACAACCTTCCCATCCTGCATCAAAACACAACCCAAACCTTGCTTAGAAGCATCACAATACACATTGAAATCACGATCAATACTAGGAAGAACCAACGATGGTGTCGTGGTCAACCTCTGCTTCAACTCTTGAAAACTTTCTTCATAACGGATTGTCCACACATATGGTTCCCCTTTTCTGGTAAGCGTAGTCAAAGGTAGTGCCAACTTCGAAAACCCTTCTATGAACTTCCGATAATAACCGACCAATCCCAGAAAACTCCTTATCTTGGTAACTG